ATTTTATTGACATTTATATGTGTTAACTACACACTTCCTCGGTAGTAGATAGTCCAATCCTAATATGCATTCGTCTTCAATGTCAGCCAAGTATATTTCCTGTCTGTCCTTTATGCCCATGAGCTCAATAGTTACCCACACTGGTCCCCACAACCCTGCAGAATGTCCTGTCACACCATAAAGCTTCTGTATGGCTTCTGGTACTCCTTCGTGATCTAACACCTTGATGCTCACAAGGGTTTGCTGAGATGCAGAGTCTATGACAAAGTTGCACCTTTGGCCATCCAGCTTTCCTGTCACATAGACACTGTGTGTGCTTGGCATTTTACACCCAGCTGTTGGGACTTTCATGATGGGGGTTGGTGGGCGTCGCTCAACACCAACCACTACAGGTCTCCTTAAGGCCGACTTGTTGGTAATATTCTTCCTACACTGGCTCCTCAAATGTCCATGCTTTCCACAGTTCCAACAACCTTTCTGGATACCAGCCTTTTCTACTGTGGCACCTCCCCTGTGTAGAAGTTTCCAGCATTGAGCTCTCTTGTGCCCAGGTTTGTTACAGTGCCAGCAAAGTCCCTCAAACTTCTCTGAAAGCTGACCTTTTCTGGCCTTGAATCCAGATGACTGTACCAACCTCGGTACCTCTGTGCTGGACTTAACGTAGGATTCAAATTCGAGAGCTCTGGCCATTGCATCCTGCATGGTAGAGGGGTGTGCTTGCTTCACTTGTATCTTAAGTTGTGGACTGTCCAAGGCATCTACGAACTGATCCCTCAGAAACAACTTGAGGAGATCGGGTGGTGCAGTTGGGTAGGCCTTGTGTACTATGCTTTCCAAGTCTTGTGCCAGCCCTTGCAGGATCTCCCCTTTAGCACGGATTCTTGTCCTAAACCTAGCCCTGTAGAGTTCTGACACCAATTTGTTACGTCTCCGTTTGTTAATTGATTTTCCGTAACTTCGTTCCCATTTTTTTTTCGTTCCACTTCTGACACCAATTTGTTACATCTCCGTTTGTTAATTGATTTTCTGTAACTTCGTTCCGACGAAACTTTAGCGACACAAGTCCTTACTTAATAAAACTGGTTTATTCTTTCTGAATATAACTTTACCGATACACTTATTTTCAACAGTCGCTCTTTTACAAACGTTTTAACAACGAACGCTAACTTCAACAATACTTCCTGACTGCAGTTCAATTACTCACTACCTACACACATTGTTGTCACGTTGTGAGCGTCTTATATATATACCAGACAAACATATATCTAGTAAATGCTAGGGCATTCACGAAGGAACAAGATAGTTCTAGAAACGTGGCGTGACACTAGTCACGTGACCTCGCTGACGCAACAATACGATATAATATGAATAATCACTAATGATTGAATTAGTGCAGTGCCAAAAAAGTTATCTAATATTAGAATTAAAAGTTATCGCGTCTATTTTGCTATTCGGTGTTTGAAGTTAGGCAAACATTAGTTTCGGAGTTTATGTTTAAAAAAAGTATTTACGAAATTACGCCTATAAATGAACACCTACAGAGCATAACAGCTATGCATTTGGGCCTATTCTAACGCTAAAAAGCGTTAATAAACAAATCTCACGTTTTGGTCAAACTAGCAGCTTTCAATAGTACATGGTGGTTGTTTGACCTATTCAATCCATGTTAAATTCAGCATCACGTTGATCCAGGAAATGTACCAGATTGTACCATTTTGCTCCATTGAATAAACACGTTTCTCGGAGAGAATGCCCCAAGACCCATCTAGAAAAAAGACCGCATGTGGCACTTGCAGCATTTTACCGAGCGCTAAAATTTTACTTCTTCAAAAGTTCCGCTCAAACAGATTCCTAAAACTTGGGGGGGAGGAAGAAGTCTTAATAACACCTGACCCTCTCAGGTCGCAACAAACACCCAGAAATGGAAGCTCTGGAGTACATTACAACACTATATCATTCGTTTGAAATTGTGTATTCCGTCCTGTGATGCTAGAATTTTTCTGCAAAACGTGACAATTGATATCAGTATGGCTCTTTTCACAAAAATTCAATATTATCCAGTAATACATTTTCACCTTTAAATAGCTTCGGAAATGTGTTAACTAAAAACAAGAGGGAATCCTCAACAGCCGCGGCTTTAATTAGATCTCAAATCGGTCAAGAGATGGAGCTATGAGCTAAAAGTTTGTACTTGAAAAAAAAAAACGGCTAAAAAAAGAAGTTTCTTTAGTAATATTTTAGTCTTTTCACATGCGGCTTTAGTTATTTTCTATTAACACGTACTGGACCACTGTAAGGTTTTAATGTGAACTTCAATAAATAAGTTTTAGCTTAATATTTCCCGTAGTTTGTCTATCCAAGCCTCGTTACTTTTGTATATATATATTTTTTTCTAAAGTAAATCGTACTTTAATTGTGGAAAGTTACGAGATTAAGTAGGGGTTAAAATTATTAGGTAGTATGTTTAACTTTGAGAGAAACTGTAAAACGAAAAACCCGGGTACCATTATGTGAATCGAAACTATATAATAATTAATTTTGGTTCAGTTTCGTCATCAATATATATATATAGGAAACAATTATTGATTAATATTTAAAATATTAAGTATTAGCTGACATAAGTGCTCAACGCACAGTAAAGACACAGGGGTTTTTACGGTGACATAGAGATATCAGAAGCGAACGCTGACCCCCCCCCCCTCATGTCACTCCTTGGAGGCTCTAAAGGTACATGCCAGGTTTGGTGACAATCAGTCCAGCGGTTCGCCAATTATACACCGACTCACACACAAGTACAAAAGAATAACGATTTCTGCGTTTTGAAACTTATCTAAATACGATATACAGTATACAGACTAAGACAGGTATGACAAAAATCATTCAAAGTTTAAGTAATAAATCTAATGTAATGAATACAGTATACTCAAATATGGAACGAATTCACTCGTATCTTATAACTACGTGTTTTCTTCACCATTTTCATTGTCGATGCTTTATGAAATTATATTTCTTTATTACTTTACACTAATTATTTAGATCTAGTAAACTAATATATACTGGTATTTTCATCCTGGACGCTACTTTATGCACACGTAGCTAAACGGTGGATTAGGTGTAGTCGCCTCTAATTTTGTACTACTGACCCTAGAGAAAGCAGCTAATTACTAGCATCTGCCGTCACATTTTTTTTTTTTTTGGCTTTCAACTAAATAACGAAACTAAGGGTAACTCTTATAACGCATCCACAGCTTAACGTGACAAGTGTGTTCAGTAGCACCACCGTGGACCTTCTGGCACACTGACCACTCGGACACACCCAACCTCTGTCTAAATTCAAAATTCAAGTTGGGTCCTAAAACTTTATAAGAAAAACAGCAGTTACTTTGATTTTATATTATATCATATTTATCGAACCCCCCCCCACCCCCAGTGGCACAGCGGTATGACTGTGGACTTACAACGCTAGAAACCGGGTTTCGATACCCGTGATGGGCAGAGCACAGATAGCCCATTGTGTAGCTTTGTGCTTAACTTCAAACAAACATACTAGTGTTGCCTTAAAAAAGTAAGTTCTGGTACTGGTGAGTACATTGTGTATATTTGTGCATAACTTCAAAAATTTTCATCAAATTGTAAACATTTTTTCTCTGATTTACCTGATTTTTTTCAGATATTGTGCTTTGCGTGAAAGATATTAAATTCAAAATTTATTTTAATATCTATGAAAAATTCTCCAGACTTTTCAAAACGCAAATAATGACACGAATTTACCGAAATATTCCCAAGTAAAGTAGAATAAGTAAATACGTTTGTTCAAATAGTATAAGTTATTATTCAAAGGACATAAGGTCTTGAATTAACTTAGATAAGTCACATTTTCACCCACGATTTATTTAATTTTAAACTAATTTTTAAGATACATATTAGACTTACAACAGTTTGAATTTTGCTCGGCGTGATAGCAGTTTGATACTAAAATCGCCGGAAATTCGGATACACTGTTTATTTAATTTATCAATAACTACTTAAAGATTCTTACTGAAATTAGGGATTTAGATAATATAATGTAATATATTTGTTTTACAACATTTAACATAATATAAGGTTTACACGTTGATTCTAAATTTAAAAATTCAACACAATTTACTAAGACCGAACTAAATAATTATAAGAATTACAAAAGTGCATTAATTCACCTCAAACTTAAAAGATGGTCTGACGTCCTTTTCAATCATATATTTAATAACAAGTGCTTCTTCTTTAAATAAAGAACTCATATATCAGTTAGAATAAATTCTAGAAAACAGGTGTTTAAAGAAGATAACACGCCTCATAAATCCTGTTGATACTTACCTTTGTTCTCTCTGCTGTAGCGATTAGATGCCCTTTGAAGTAAGTGTACATCCTTCTTGAAAATATATTAAAAGCCTCATGATTTTGCTGACGCTAGGGAGTTTGTAATAATTAATTACTATACTTTCACCAAAGCCTCAAAAGTAAAATGTAGTCTTGGTTATTTGAAAGGCAATTTTAAAACATATAAAGTCCCGGCATGACCAGGTGGTTAGGGCGCTCGACTCGCAATCTGAGGGTCGCGGGTTCGAATCCCTCTCACACCAAACATGCTCGCCCTTTCAGCCGTGAGGGCGTTATAATGTGACGGCCAATCCCACTATTCGTTGGTAAAAGAGTAGTCCAAGAGTTGGCGGTGGGTGCTGATGACTAGCTGCCTTCCCTCTAGTCTTATACTGCTAAATAAGGGATGGCTAGCACAGATAACCTTCGTGTAGCTTTGCGCGAAATCTATAACAAACCATAAAACAACGACTTTTTTTAAAAAAAATTTTAAACGTTTAGTTTTAGTTGATGCTGTTATTTAGCAAAGATGTTAAAAGAAAACCAACGTTTAATTGTGCACAGTAAATACTTAAAAATGAGACAGTCCCTAGTCTCAAGCCCTAAGTAACAAAGCGGTATGTCTGCGGACTTAAATTTCTAAAAACCGGGTTTCGATACCCATAGTAGACAGAATACAGATAGCCCTTTGTGGTTCTTTGTGCTGAATAACAAATAACAACAGCCCAGTCTCAATATACAATAAAAGATTTACTCAGTAATTTATTGTATAAACATAAAAAGTGTTTGTTTTTATAGAGTAAATTATTTAATAAATGTTTAATTATATCTTGAGGCTTGGACAATCTCAATTGTAATTACTTATTGTGTACCATGAATCGTTAGTTTTATTTTAATGTTTGTGTTATTTGTAATTTACACAAGTATCGTCTAACCTTAATTAGTGTTGTTCATTCTTTTACGTTAACAAATGTACAACAATTATAACTTTTACTACGTTATAAACAAATTTCTTTAGCAATGCTTAGCTACGGAATTTCAATGGATACTTCAAAAAAAGTTGGAGGTATTTTTTTCAGAACTTTGACAATTGTTACGACAGCTAATAAATCGTTTCTGTCGACAAAGCAGTTTTTGTATTAATATTTATGAAATGATCTGAGTAGTGTGAATCGGGCCCAAAAAAAAAAAAAAAAAAAATCACAGAAACTAATATAACGAAATTCTCTGCCTACCTCTTTCTATAATATATTGAA